TTAACAAACTGACATTTTAACTATCAGCCTGCATACCCCGGCTTGTATCCTGTAGATAGACAGGTATATAGATAGCTTGTATTCTGTAGATAATATATATATACACACATATATAGATAGATATTTTTCCACCCTAGGGAAAAGGTAAAAATACAGACTACTTCATGAATTCTCAGGGTAAAATCTATTGTTTCTTAACATGTCAGGCAAGTAAAGCTTTGACCCACAGGGGAGACTGCAAGCAGAAGAGGTGACCTGCGTGTTCCCACACCAGGAGCGGCGGGCTGAGTGTGTGCCCAGAACGTCGGAGTGACAGCTCCCAAGCAACCAGAAAAGGACCCGATCCCTGCCCAAGGGGCTCAGAACAAAGGCTCTAACCAGGCTTTTTTCCAAAAAAAAAAAATTTTTTTTAAAGATTTTATTTATTTATTTGAGAGAGAGAATGAGAGAGAGCACATGAGAGGGGGGAGGGTCAGAGGGAGAAGCAGACTCCTTGCTGAGCGGGGAGCCCGACGCGGGACTCGATCCCGGGACTCCAGGATCATGACCTGAGCCGAAGGCAGTCGCTTAACCAACTGAGCCACCCAGGCGCCCTTTCCAAAAAATGTTTTTAATTCCAACATCCATCTTAATGGCTTACTGTTGACTAATTTAGCGGGTAGTTTGTTCTACTAAAAATGGAAGCTAATGATTTCAGCTAACAACTAAGCCACAGTACTATCGAAGTATATCGTAAGAAACTGATTATCACCGGCTGCGTTTGTTTTCCACGTCCTTCTCCCTGTAGAAAGGCTTGCTAGGATTCCCACAGCAAGAGCAAAAGGCTTTCTTCCTCCCCTGGGACCCGAGGTTATGAATGTGTTCTCTAGGGGGCATCTACGCCCTCAGAGCTCTCTGAAGACTCAGCTAGCGCGCAGGGAGCAATGCACCATGCACTCCTGCGGGTCATAGTAGGGCCACGCGGCAAGTATTAACGACATCACCTTATTTCTCTTGAGCACCCACCGGTCCTCACAACTCCGCTGGGTGCCATCTAGCTCGGCACACTTTATCCTTTCCAAAGTAAGTGGGTTTTGAAAATAGCACAACATTTTAGGCAAAGATCAGATAGTAGTCATACCACACAATGGTCCAGCTGGAAGACATCTAGCAAAAAAAAAAAAAACCCAAAAAACAAAAATCAAAAGTTTTCAGGTGCCACCATTTGAATTTACCAGGAATTCTGGCACTCGGCACAATTACGGCATGATTAAATATTTTAATTGGCAACGATTCAAGCATAATGCAGGTTTCTTGATTCTGATTCAATCCATTTGATGTATGGACTCTGAAACCTTATGACACTCATTTCTATAAAGTAAAATGTGGCCCAAAAAGCCACACGTGGACTGGGAAGCTACTGAAGGCACTTGTTACAAAGGAATCTCAATTATTAGGCAATTAGAACAAAACTCCTGAGAATATTTACAAAGCCTTTCTGGGGCATGAGCTTGATGACATGTTTTTAATTTTATAATTTTTAGAAACAACAAAAGGAATGGTTAGCTCTTACCTTCCTCTGAGGAGTCTCCATATTGCTATTGAGACCGAGAAACTGGATGATTTTAATTCAGGGCACTAGTTTCAGCGACAGCTAAGAATTTTCTTTTCCGGCTTGTGACATCTCAACCAGTTTCCCATTTCCATTCAGTGTTGGGAAGCATGTTCCTGTGCCATCTTCAGGATTCTGGCAGAAGGGGTTTCTCAGGCTAGGTTAAGAGCTTAGAGACAAGGTACTAAAGATGGGTTCCGAGGCCCCCCACTTAATGCACCTGCATCCCCACATGAGCACACACAGACATGAGTTCTTGCTCTGGCGGCCAGTTTTAACTGCTGCCCTCTGGCTCTAGCTATACAAGCTGGCCCCTTCCCCCCATGCCCTCCCACCCCCAGGATGGAGGACTGAACACAGCAGAGTTCTAGGACTGTCGACCCATGTGGTTCCCTATTCCGGGACCTAAAATGACTTTAGGATTGTGGATCTAATGTCCCTTCTGACAGGCTTAATTTGGGCAACTTGGAGCGGGAAAATCCCCTTTCTCTTCCTATCTAAAGCCATCCCTGTCTCAATAATTTCAGTCATACAGAAATATTTAACGGAATCCTAGAGAAATGTAACGTTCTGTTCATGGGATTACTGAGCAAGGATGTGTCCTCTGAGGTACTATCGGGAAGGCATGAGGGCTCCCTATGTGGTCAGTACCAACGAGTCACTGAGAGACATTTATAGGGCCTTTAACAAGGAGTTTCATTGCTCCTCAAGTGGACTAAATCTTCTTCGAGTGCAAACACTTCTTTGAATTTAAAAAAGGTAAGTAGTTCCAGAATGCAGATTCTTTGGGAGCATTCCTTCCTTCTGTGCTGTCCATCCAGGGAGCTGGGCCTTCCAAGGACCCTGGGAGGCCGCACTGCCTCCTCATCACAGCAAGTCTCCTGTCCAGGTTGATCCATCCGTTAAAGCCAGGTCTGTTCCTAAGCAGGCACTACCAGCAGCCCCCGGGCTAAGTCATTACCAGGGCAACCACATGGATTTCAAAGTTGACAAAGAGCATCACCATTCTCAAAGACTATCAGCTCCGAGAACAGTCGTGGATTCTGTCCTACCACGTGCCCCCCTCGAGTGTGACCCTTATCCATCTTTGGTTAACAACAGTCCCAGGTAACCCTTCTCAGGACAACACATGCCATGAGCAGGGATCCCAGTAACACCCCCTTGGCCTCTCACTACAAGGGCTGGTCTGGTCCTGCTCACAATCAAGGATATTCTTCCAGACAGCCCAGTCACTGTTGGTTCCAAGGTTTCCTTAGCAAATGAGGGGTTTCAGATATCCTAGCAAGACTCCTGAATTGGGGGCACGTGGGTGGCTGTCGTTAAGCATCTACCTTCGGCTCAGGTCATGATCCCAGGATCCTGAGATCGAGCCCCACATCGGGCTCCCTGCTCAGTGGGAAGCCTGTTCTCCCTCTCCTGCTCCCCTCCCCTCTCCCTCTATCTGACAAATAAATAAAATCTTAAAAAAAAAAAAAGCCTCATGAATCAGAGTTTTCTGTAACATGTGCATAATACAGTCGAAGTGAAGCAGGCCCTCAGCAGATGTGCCGCAGGGAGAAAGGCTGCAGGCCTATCCTGCCTTCCCAGGCCATCCCACTAACCCAGGGCATTCACTTCACTGTGGGACGGTCACCCCGTCTACCTTGAAGCTAATCCCCCCAAAGCTGATGGAAATAGCCAACTATCCATGGCTTGTACCCTTCTCTGGAAACACAATCTACTAACAGGAAAACTAATTTGGAAAAAAAAAAATGCACAAATTACTCAAATTTCAGAGCTGTTATCAGTGTGGGAAAATTATTAACTAAAATGAACAGCACAGGGCGCCTGGGTGGCTCAGTCGTTAAGCGTCTGCCTTCGGCTCAGGTCATGATCCCAGGGTCCTGGGATCGAGCCCCACATCGGGCTCCCTGCTCAGCGGGAAGCCTGCTTCTCCCTCTCCCACTCCCCCTGCTTGTGTTCCCTCTCTCGCTGTGTTTCTCTCTGTCAAATAAATAAATAAAATCTTAAAAAAAAAAAAAAATGAACAGCACATTTCTTTTATTGTATTCCAAAGTAAATTCTTTCCTATAATAATTTTGATTATTAACTAACTTGCATTAGTTTTGACTTCACAGAGAGCATGAATCAAGTGGTTAAAACCTTAATGATGTGATAATATTTATTAATATAGTAAATCCCGAATATAGAAGATCTATGACTCCTCTAATACTTCCAGTTTATAAACTGGCTTCAGAAACATCAAAGACATGCTCTTTTGAAGAACAAAGTTTTAGAGCTTGGAGGAAAGAGAAGGTAATCATTACAAATTCAGTACGGATCCATCAGAGATTTTTTTTAATCCATTTAAATCCACGTATAGGAGATCGGATTCTGATCTTACATTATTTCTACATTTTTAGAACAACTTTTCACTCACAAATTCAAGGTTACAATGGCATTAAAAATATCCACAGGAAAGGAATGGCATAAGATATAATAACATGATTAATAGCTGTTATGTTAAGAGTTGTTATTTCTCTTTTCTCTATTTTTCAAATTTCCAATAGGAGGGTTATATAACTTTTATAATAAAAATTGTAAGTTAAGAAAGAATTCAAGATTACAAAACATAGTTGACTTTATAAAATAATGCTTCAAACAAATAGGCAGAAAGAAGACATTCAACCAAAATAAAGAAGATGCTCCACGGAAAGGTTCACCAGGTCCTGGGACGAGCTTTACAGATGAAGCCCATCGTTAGCCCTTCCAGCCTCACTGGCCTTGGAGACAGGAAGCAGCGGGAGCCCCCCTTCCTGTGGCACCACAGATCCTCACCAAGGCATGGACGACAAATGCTGGATTTCTACATGTTTATTAGCCTTGTGTGCCTGGGGAATCGCAAAGCACTTTTGGAATCTGTACTTGATTTGGTTTTAGGGTGAAGAAAGTGCGGTTCACGCAGAAGTACCAAAGTGACCAACTAATGAAGACATCACAGGCCAAAGCAGCCGCTGCGGGCAAGCACACCGCCTCACCGGGCTTAGGGAAAGGTCAGGTAAGGGTTCCTTTTCAAATTATATTTCCTTTACTCAACTACGTTCCCTTAAAAAACAAGGACAACTAACTACATGCACAAGACTGTAAACAGAGCTCATTCACACTGACAGCCCACAGAGGGGACTCTCGATATATCCTTGCAGGGTTTTGGGGCAATAAAACCAAAATCTATATTTAAAATATGTGTGCATCTATTAAGACAAATTTTTAAAACTCATTTTTTAAATAGCCCAGTGGACCTTCCAGACTGGTAACTTTACCCACAAAGGGGGAATATAAGTGCTTACTGTATTGGTATATAAAAATAGAAAACCCCAATGAGGATTTCAGAGTCTGTTCCTCAAGAAATCACACACTTTTTGCCCAAAGGCTGTACAGATACCAGTGAAACCTTCTTCCTTGACCTCTAAATACATCTCCTCCACAACAGGGGCAGCTGGGGTTGGGCGTTTGCCTAATCCCATGGGGTCCTCTGGCGGGGATCACAGCTGCTGGCTGACGAAGAAGGACTTGGCCTCCCTGCAGACAGGATTTACACAGAGCGGACAAGTCAGAGTCAACTGCTTGGAACACAGCTCGTTTGACTGGATGTGTGACAGCACCAGATCGGCCAGGGCCTGCGAGACGGGCGACAAGAAGCAGAGGTTCCTCAGAAGCAAAACGCCTGCCCTCTCCCCGCGCATCTCCCCCTCCCATCCGCTCCGATAATCACTATGGCTGAGGGTTGCTTTCTTCGTCTGAAGTACGGCTGCTTTGAACTGGGTTCTCCGATACCTTCATTTCCTAAGGATCCTCGGCTTAGAGAAAAGTTCAAATAGAGATTTCAGAGGACATCCTCTTACCCCACCTGCTAAACCCTGCCTCTGGAAGGCAGGTCTTAAATTAGACACAGTTATAGGTGGGTAGAAATAAGAAAATTGGGGCTATCTAAAGGAAGAAGGAGCAAGAGTATAAGGAATTCGATTTTATTTTTGTAATTAATTGGAACTCAAAATGTTCTAATATGTGAGAAAACCAATATTCTGTAAGAGTTTCTCAGAGGACTTCTCTCCGATATGTTCTACTAAAATGGTTGTAACACTATAGATACCTTGGAGAACAATGGATTTCCATTAAGAGACTCTGCTCTTCTGATGTTTTCAACTCCACACTGAATCAAATGAGAAAAAGAAGGAAAAACACATACACGTTTTATTTTCCGTTTTTTTTTTTAAAGAAACCGCTACAAAAAAATAAATAAATAAATAACCGGACTTAGATACATACACAACTTAAAGTCTGACTTCCAAAGTGTTTCCAGATGGCTCAGAAATGCAAACAGTCCCGGGCCCAGACACAGATGTAGATTTTCACCTCTGTTATCATAAAACTGCTCTCAATTTCTATTCCTTTCCCTACTCTATTACCTTCCCCATAGGTGTTTAGTTTCCAAACCGTTTTTGAGGCTGTATTTGACAGACTTCTCAACTCAAATCTGCTTATTATTCTTTTTTTTTTTAAGTTTTTATTTATTTATTTGACAGAGAGAGACACAGAGAGAGAAGGAACACAAGCAGCAGGGGTGGGAGAGGGAGAAGCAGGCTTCCCGCCAAGCAGGGAGCCCGATGCGGGGCTCGATCCCAGGACCCTGGGATCATGACCTGAGCCGAAGGCAGATGCTTAACGACTGAGCCACCCAGGCACCCCCTATTCTTTTTTTATTCTACCTTTCTAATGCACACTTTTACAGACTCTACCTAAGCAGAATGTTGCTTTAATTAAATAAATCTTTATGCCTGTTTTGATTCCAACTGCCAAAAGAGGTAGATTAATTTAATGTATATTGAACCTAGATTGGATCCAATGCAGAGTGGGGTTTTTAAATATATCCTTACATAGAAAAACCCAAAATAAAACCTGAGGACTGTTTTACTATCCTTGCTTCCCTCCCCCAAAATACCCAGTTGATTATCCCCCAAATAATTAAGAAACATCTAATTATTATTCACTCAGGTAGTCAAGATCTTCTCTTTCCCTTTCCAAAATGCCAATGGCTTTCGGTTGCTTTATCTTTTAAGTTAACTTTAATCAGCATGGGAAAAACGGTGAGATTCAGGAAACACACAGTTCTCAACCTAAAAAGGAACTGTATTCAGGGTGTTTGGGTGACTTAGTCGGTTAAGCGTCCGACTCTTGATTTTGGCTCAGGTCATGATCTCAGGGTCGTGAGATCGAGCCCCGTATCAGGCTCCACGCTCAGCAGAGAGTTTGCTTGAGATTCTCTCTCTCCCTCTCCCACTGCCCCTCCCCCCTCACATGAATGCAAGCATGCTCGCAAGTGCTCTCTCTTAAATAAATAAATAAATCTTAAAAAAAAAAGGAAAAAAAGAGACTGTAGAGACTGTACTCTAAGACTCCATGTAGAAGTCAGTGACAGCAAGACAACCAATGCCAGCAGTGTTCTTGAAGACTATGGATGGGAGAGTCCAAGGATATACCTCTGTAGGCCAATCCAGTAAAACATCTACCAACATATAAATTCCATTTGTAGGAATTTTTCCTAAGAAATTAATTGGAGGGCGCCTGGGTGGCTCAGATGGTTAAGCGTCTGCCTTCAGCTCAGGTCATGATCTCAGGGTCCTGGGATTGAGTCCCACATCGGGCTCCTTGCTTAGCAAGGACCCTGCTTCTCCCTCTGCCTGCCACTCCCCCTGCTTGTACTCTCCCTCTCTCTCTGGCAAATAAAAAAGTAAAATCTTTAAAAAAAAAAAAGAAATTAATTTATTGGAAAATGGAAAAGAAAATTATGTTTATTACAGAGCAGTTTAGGAAAGTAAAATGTTGGAAACATCTTAAATATATACTGATCAAGGATTCATTTAAAATAATTATAAAGGGGCGCCTGGGTGGCTCAGTCATTAAGCGTCGCCTTCCGCTCAGGTCATGATCCCAGGGTCCTGGGATGGAGCCCCGCATCAGGCTCCCTGCTGGGCGGGAAGCCTGCTTCTCCCTCTCCCACTCACCCTGCTTGTGTTCCCTCTCTCGCTGTGTCTCTCTCTGTCAAAAAAATAAAATCTTAAATAAATAAATAAAATAATTATATAGATCTAATTACATTTATTGATTTAGGTCCATTTCTAAGGGGGAAAAAAAGGTTACTGTTTTGTATAAATATATGTGTAAAATACCATGCAAAAATGGTATTTTATTCATAAACATGTAGGAGCATACAATTTTTCTTAAAGTACACATACATTTAGAGAAAAAAGGGGACTAATTTTTATCAAAATATTAACTTATCTCTTGGGGTAAGATTCTTTTTTTTTTTTTTTTTTTTTTTAAAGAGACAGAGAGGAAAATGGCGGAGGGGGAGAGGGAGAATCCTAAGCAGGCTCCACGCTCAGCGCAGAGCCAGACTCGAGGCTCGATCTCACAACCCTGAGATCAGGACCTGAGCCAAAATCAAGAGTCAGACACCCAACTGACTGGGCCACCCAGGCGCCCCTCTCAGGGGTACGATTCTTTTTTTTTTTTTTTTAAAGATTTTATTTATTTATTTGACAGAGAGAGACACAGCGAGAGAGGGAACACAAGCAGGGGGAGCGGGAGAAGGAGAAGCAGGCTCCCTGCAGAGCAGGGAGCCTGATGTGGGACTCGATCCCAGGACCCTGGGATCACGACCTGAGCCGAAGTCAGTCGCTCAACCGACTGAGCCACCCAGGCGCCTGTGGGGTTACGATTCTGAATGAGCTCTACTCTCTCTGTGATACTTCTCTGAATTGTCTGAGCTCTTTATTATTTGTATTATCGAAAAGCAATAATTTCATCTTAGGAAAAAATTCAAACTACTTTTTAAAGAAAGTCATTTTAAACACAGTATATTCTTCCATCAAGACAATGAAATCAACTGTAGCTGGATGGTCTTCTTTATTCTCTCTATGGGCTAATTTATTAGTCACTAATAATCCAGCTGATTACTGAGGAATAACCTCAGTTTGGTGATATTAATGAATGTGAATTATTGTTCAATACAAACAAAAGCTTATTTTCTAAACACACTGGAATGAACTATATTTGCACGTAAGTCTTTTTAGTAAGCTCACAGTTAGCCAAGGTCAGGGTCGGATATGGAAGGCACCATTACAATGAAATCCACAGACAACCCTGCCACCTCACTTTAGCCAATTACAGCTTCGCCATAAATTCTGTATCAGAACTATTGACAAGTAATTTACGCACCCTCTAACTTCCTCAACATTTGATTGATGACCAGCATGCATAAACAAAAACCTGTGGGGCTGGGTGCTGGCTAAAGCTGTCCCCAACCCACTCTCACCCTGCCCTGCACCTGCCACCCAGTCCCAGAGAGGGTGAAGTATCCTTTGAGGCCAGGCCTCCATCAATCACGCCTGGGGAGGACCAGGATCAGCAGTTCTGGCAGAAGATGAGAGGAGGAAGGGTTTTGTGGGTCCCGGAGCTTCCACAGTTCCCACAGAAACAATGTTATAAATTGGATTCAGGTTTCAGGCCGGCCCTCTGAAGGCGTGAGATGGGTGAACAGTAAGTTTTTCTCCACTGTGAATGATAATTCACATCCATCTTACATCACAAGACACTATGGGTGGTATTTGTTATTTCAATAATCAGACTGATCACAACACCGGCAAACAGCTAATTAAGTGAGTGTGTGAAAGAGGTCAAGGGAATTATAACGCACACTGCTTCGGTGTTCATTCCACGGTCCTCTAAATGACAATGCTCTTCTATGCCTCAAAATCCACCAAGAACCAGTGTAAAAGCCCCACCAGGCCAAGAAAAGGAATGACAGCACAGTACAATTCTTTTCCTCCCAATTGGTGAGAAGAACAATTTTTCTTAAGAAAACGTACTTTTACCACTTCCAGGTCGCACAGTAACTCCAACGAGACAAAACGACACTGCTCGTAGCCGCGCCTGTGAACCTGGTCTCACAGAGGCACAGAAGTGCTTTCCCACGGCTGCTGTGGGTTACCCTGATGTGTTCAGACTAACTCAGGTTAGGTATTATTCAGAATCAGGAGGCCAGGGTACCTGCCCACAGACGCAGCGAACAATGTCACAAACATCCCAGCAAAGTGAAGGCACCGAGTTCTATTCGTTTCCGATAAACAATACAGTGATTCAACAGTTCTGCATGTTAGTGCTCATCAAGACAGGTTGTACTCTGAACTCCTCCACCTACTTCACTCGTCCCCCTCCCCCACCCCTCTGCTAACCACTGAACAGTATTTTTGAAGGATACAATTATATCGTTGCAGAGAAAGTTTCCTTTGAAAACAGATCACAATTTGTGAATGGGATTAATAGTCACACTTACCTCGTTAGCTAGGACTTGAGAGTACTCGATGTCCAGTTCATACAGCGTTTCAATGTGATCGCTGGTAAACGCTATTGGAACCAAAAGAATGTTCTTCCTCCCCCTCTCACAAAGCCCTTTGATAGTCTCATCTGTTTGAGGGCCCAGCCAGGGCATCGGACCAACCTGTGAGAAAGGAGGATGGAAGGCACACCACGGCCCACTGCCCCAGACACACACACACACCACCACTCCCAGGCAGAGTGAGGACCACGCTTTACATCTGCGTTAGTGGGTTTTGATATTTCTATACTAGGCTTGAATCCTTCTTGAAGTTGGCATAATATAAATAAATCACAATTTCTGTCATTACAACTAAAAATAATACATTAAATCAATGAAATTCAGCTAGTCACTTGATTTCCCCTCCATTTCACCTGCTTGCAGAGTTCCTTCGGCTCATGGTGAGCCACCAGGTTATAGGACATTCTGTGTACATGAAAGAGCCAAACCTAACCATTTTATAAGTAAGTCTAAAATAGACGTCCTCAGAATTGCTGACTGCCCGCAAGCATGTGGAAACCACCTACCTTAGACTGCCAAGCCAGTCGGTAGGGATTGGAGTAACCCAGCTTATCCATGACTCTCTGCACAGTGGCACCCACCTCCTGAGGATACGGGTCCCCTCTGTTGACCACCTGCAGCAGAGACACATGGGTGTTCAGTTGCCAACACTGCGAAGGGTTCTAAGAGCCTCAGGCTGTGCAGTGAGGTGGTGTGAGCTGGGGACCGGAGTCTCCCCTTCTGTCTTCTGCACTAATGATGCTATAATCTGAGCTCAACTGCCAAACTTCCTTGGATCCATTTCCTCGTGGGCCAAAGGACACCGCACTCACGCATATCTAAGTACCTAGGAATATGTCAAATTCTACATCCATGTTATTCACGGGAGACTGACAACGTCCAACGAGGGAGGATGGGTCTCTCCGTTCCCCCATCTGAAATAGGGAAGGAGGAATTGAGAGTGTTGTATGGATGGCGTACGGACCTACTGAATCCATGGGGCCCGCTCAACACAAGGGCAAGTGCTAGTGGAGTAAGAGAGGGGAGAGGCAGCACGTGGGTGCAGACTCCAGACGCCTCGAGAATACCACCTGTGTCTTCTAATCCCTTTCCTCTCCCCACGTCCCCCACAGCAATGGACTGCAAGGCGAGCACTGTGTGCACCTCGAACGTCTGGTGACCGGTCCTGACACAACAGCGTGATAATACTCTTAAGAATGTTCAACGGGAATTTTATTTTTACTGCTTTAACGTTTAGCTGTGTACAGTCTCCCTAAACCCCTTACACAGCATGATTGCTCCCCATACCATTTATTATCTCCTAACATACTGTACTATTTTCTTCTGTACTATGGTTATTATTTGTCCCCCACCCCCCCTCTCTGGGGGCAAAGACTTCTGTCTATTTCATTCATTCCCGTATCCTACGACAGTGGAGGGAACAGTGCTTAGAATATAGTGGATAGAACAGTGCTCAATAAATATTGTTGAAATAAAATACTGATAAACCATTTTATGATACTACTAAAAGACCATTAGAAACCTAAATATAGAATGAATGAGGGAAACAGAAAGTTGCCATTAGAACAACACAGAAATAATTGCTACAGGCAAGATCTCCTGAAGGATGCTAAAATTGGTGGGCAAAAGTCGAGGAACAAGACAACATTTTCATGGCCTCAAAGTATCTCACCTAAGATATTTTAAAATCACAAGGAGAAAAACGGTAACTTTACAATGTACAATCCAGCAGATACCACCTTAGACAAATGGCCAGGGATCACATCACCAGCGGTAGGACGTTTGTCATCATGTACCATGCACTGAGAAGGACAGATCACTCTGGAGTGTTCTTCCCAGGATTGCAGAGCCGCAGTCGAATCATGGGAAAATCCCTGACGGATCCAAGTGCAAGAGCCGCAGTCGAATCATGGGAAAATACCTGATGGATCCAAGTGCTACCAAACAACCGACATTCCACTAAATCATTCTTCAAAAATATCAAGGTCATGAAAGACAGGGAAAGCATGGGGGCTGTCGCAGACTGGGGCATAACTGAGAAGACGGGACAACGAAACACGACAGGGGATGTTGGACCAGATCCCGGAACAAAAAAGGACAACTGTGGACGAAGTGGTGAAATCCGATCGAGCCTGGCCTTTGGCTCCTAGCATTGCACCACTGTTAGCTTCCTGGTTTGGGTCACGGTGCTGTGGTTATGGAGAGGTCAGCATGAGGAGAAGCTACGGGAAGGATGTATATGTATGTGTATGTATGTATGTATGTATGCATATGAACCCTCTGTACTATTTTTGCAACTTTGTCTAAAGTCTACAATTACTTCCGAATAATTACTTCCAAATAGTAAGTCTTTAAAAAGTCACTAAGGAGGAAAAAGCCATTAGCAGCAAGTGCAGGGGAAAAGAAAAGCCTGCTAGAACAGTCTTCTCCCTTGACTAGCCCTCGTCTTCCCTACCCCTTCCTCATCCTCATGACCTCATGGCCCTCCTCAGTCCCACACAGGACCCTGGGCGACAAAGAAAGCTGGCAGCAGGATGCTCGGTGCCTGAGGGAAAGAAAGGGCAGTGCGGCGGATGGTGAAGGGAAGGGCAAGCGGCACCCGGAACTGTTCACATGGAAAAGGTGTCTCCTCCTCTCCCGGTTCAAAAGCTTCCCCTTCAGACATGGCCTCATCACACCTAGCACGGTTATGAAATGGATGAGGGCAGAGCAGCGGGATAGACATGTGAAGAGGATTTGCATGATACCAGAAGAGAGAATATTACCTTGTTAAAATAAAATAGGCAGGCTTCCAGGGAGAGAAATTCCTCTCCCAAGTCACCTACAGCTGAACTGGCACCTGCTGGGTGGAGATGGAGGAGTGGAAAAGCTTTAAGGGCTCGACCCCAGTGACCACCAGGTGGCAGTAAAGACCGATTAGAAAAGTGGCCCCAGACACTCAGGTTAACTCCATTAATTCTGGAGTTAAACCCTTAATGACACCTCCAAAGACAATTCTCCACCTCTCTGGCTTCGAAAGCACTGTTTGGGGGCACAATGATAGTTCTGAGCTGATGAAACTGACGGCTCATTCCATGCACATCTCTGTACCAGCACACTAGCCTGATCATTCTCGTTTGCAAATGTGCAAAGAACTAGGGTACGGAGGTGGTATTTTAGCGAACACCAAGTGTAATGTGAAAAACTCAGGAGCAACCAGATCACAACCTGATACATTCCATATTCACTTGCTAAAATGTGGGCTCTAGTCCTAGCAGATTAAAAACTGTCATCAATTCAAACAGCCACTATCCAGTCTTGACAAAAGAACAGGATGGGAGATGGCTCAGTGTGACTGGAGGCCCTCAGCGCTGGACACTGACCAAAAGATCAGGTGAGCTCCTTCGACAGGGCAGGCAAAAGCAGCCTTCCTTTACCTGCCCCATGTACTGAAAACTCCTATTCATGAATACACCTTCCAGTTATCATTTCAAAGGGGTTTATTAAGACAATATTTATTCACAATATTGTAATTTGAATTAATTATTATTAGGTTTCAAGAAATGAGTCTAGTTAAATGAGCACCTCGGTAAGTCTGAGATGTTAGAACTCATCCTTGCACCAGGCTCAGGATGTTCTAGAAGATGGGTCCCATTTGCACATTCAGAAATCCTCTACTACTAGGTCATCCAACGAAACGCTCTTACTTACAGACATCGGCAGTGAGTGAGCAGAAAACAGGATGACCACCTCACTTCTCTTCTCAAGTGGAAAATGGTCCAGTTCTTTCACTATGTGGTCTGCAAAGCACTGCGGGAACAGCAAGAAAAGAGGGTGAGAAGGAGGGGTGGGAAGAAAAGAAACAGAAGGAAAAGAAAATATGTTTAAAATGAGAGCTCAGACAAAACTCTCCTGGCAACCCTCAAAAACTGGAACTCTCTTTTTAAAAAATTGCAAACAGTACAGTCTCCTCTCGCTTTGGTGCATCGTGAAAATGGCTCATAACGGTTTCAGGGGCCTAGGGAATTTGATGGGAAACTTCTAAAGCTCGCTAATGGCTCACTGAAAATGAACGCTCTGGATCTGCTTCCCCTCGGGAGGAACAGGGCACACTTCCAGATGGAGAGAAGACACAGATGGGAAGGAGAAGTTGTTTTAAGACCTCTCATTTGCTCGGTTAGCAGGAAAACAGCTTACAGGCTCTTTCTAAATCTTCCTCAGTTTGGCTTTCAGGCCTATCACATTAAAATACATTAGACACAAATAGTAGAGGAATAAGAAAATACTATTCTATTTTTACGACCTTCTCCTTCTGAGCCCAGTATCCTCCCTGAGTCAGTCTTCACAACAACCTTCATAACAACAGATGAGAGGTTATACAACTCTCATTAAATTCACAGAGGGGGAAGAGGCCGCCGACGTGGGGGCCATTCAGTCACATCTGCGGGACCTGGGCTGCCAGGCAGGCCCCGCCTCCGCCTCCAAAGCTCTGTCCACCAGACCAGTTAATTCCCTCCATCTAGTTGGCTCTTTCCGATCTACATCGACAGGTGCTGAAATACCCGATGTGAAGAGGCTTTCTTTCATCTTCCACTTTAATCATTCTTCGTCACTTAACTCAGAAAGCAAATGCTACAAAGGACATTAATGGGTCAATTGACAGAATTGGAATATGAATGTAGATTAGATGAATTTAAGTATTGATGTTAAATTTACTGAAGTTGAATACTGTATCATGGTTATGGAGGAGAAGATCCCTGCTATTTAGGTGTCAAGGGTGGTTTTATAGATATAAGTTACTCTCAAAAGGTTCAGAAGAAAAATGTACACACACACACACACACGAGCGTGCAAATGATAGAGTGGAATAAATGCTAATAATATGTGAATCTAGGCAAAGAGTTGAGTTCCTCTACTATTCTCAGTCTTGTAACTTTTCTGCATGTTTAAACTTATTTCCAAATAGAAAGGTTTTTGAAAAATCATAAAGGATGATTTACCAGAACCACGTACATTTGCTATTTGGTATTTTGGCATATCGGTGGTTGATACTACAAGAGGAGCAAATAATTCCCTAATCAACACGGAGATATTACTAATCTTTCCAAACCCTCAAAATTTGGTGAATAAATGCACTAAGGTACAAGATGGTGCCTAGAGACTTTCCTTTTCAAAATTTAGAATTTATCTACAGAGTAAATGTGGTTATATCTAAATCTTTGTTAGATATGAACAAAACCAATATTTTCTGGCGGTCTTCGCAGTGCTTGGAAAGAAGGATGTTCAGGAAGGGCCGTGTTTGGACCCACAGCAGCCTGGGTAAGGAGACCCACTGTGAAGCTTACAAGGAGCCTGAGCCTACGTTTACTCCAATTACCGGCAGCTCGTGACACAGCAATATTAGGGATGACAGTAAGGAAATGACAGTTTCCAGTAATTACTACCTGTAACAAGTAGAAATGTAGAATGAGACGTTCTCTTCAGTGTTAGTTTTTAACTGTATTTTTAGTTTCCAATTAGGGTTTGACTTGTTTTTTTTTTTTAACTTCTGCTAGATATCCAATCTCCTCATGTCAGCTCCACGATATGAAGAATAAAACCGGTCTATAAACTTTTGTTTCTAAAAAACTTTAGTATGTTTCCTTTTCTCCTCTCACAAAAGAGCGAGCAGAAACACAATTTGTTCCGGCTTGCAACAGACACTAAGCCGTCGTCCACACTGAGGAGCCGCGGGCAAGGAAAAGGCTACTTAGATCACCTCCAATTCGTCTGCGGTATCCTCGATGTGCAACCTCTCTGCGGAATGAAAGAGCCAGGCGGCTCTGAGCCTTCAATCACACCATCGAGAAGGGCAGATAAATGCCTCTAAAATTCCCTTTCATTTTGTGAACGGAGACTTCCTCAGTTAAGAGACCTTTCCATCTTTCTGCTTCCCCCCTTTTCAAAGGGCTGAATTTTAATGCAAATCTAATTACTCAGTGGATCAGGGCAGGCAGATGCTGTGCAGATCCCTCCGTCCCCTGCTACCACATGTCAGTGCTGACCTGAAACCCCTCGCTCCCAGTCACAGGCCGCCCAGAGCAAACCAGTAGGGGCACACTGGGTCTTTCGCGGCGCTAACTGGACCCAGCAGCACAGCGAAAGGGTGGGGGGCTCTCAGAGTGGAACTACACCTATCCCTAAGGGAAGGCCCCTCCTTTTCATTTTTACTTAAAACTGTTTTTCCACCTAAGTGTTAACCCTTGACATCACCTCTGTGCCTAAGGAACAGGGCCTGCTCCGGGGAAGAGCGGGCCTGCTTTTACCGATGTCTAGCCCCACCTAGTGGTGTTAGATTTTAAGTGACTCCAGGCTTTTTAAAAAGATGTTAAATGGGTATTTTGGCAGAGAATGTCCACGGAGTGAAACATAAACTGGATGAAACCTAAATCACTCCATACGTCCCCTACCTAAACTAACTCAAAGGCAGAAACCTCCTCTGACAGAACAAAACTATATCTGTACATTTTAGGGCAATTACCAATAGTCCTCTCATGTACAAATGGCAAAAAAGTATATGGTAACACCAATTCAAAGCTATTGGCTTTTGATTTGTAGTTTTAACTGATTCTCCAAAAACCAAGCAACTGTTCATGGAAATATTATAAATACAATTGCATGGGAGAAATCTGAAATTTCTTCTAATATGACTTTCTCAACTGAAATGTTAAATCTAGTTTCATGTCAGAACAAGTAGATTCAGTACCTTGAAAAATTTTAAAACCTATTGTCGTTTTATTTATTTATTTTTTAAAGATTTTATTTATTTTTTTGTCAGAGAGAGACAGACAGAACACAAGCAGGGGGAGAGGCAGGCAGAGGGACAAGCAAGCTCCCCGCTGAGCAAGGAGCCCGATGTGGGACTCGATCCCAGGACCCTGGGATCATGACCTGAGCCGAAGGCAGCCGTTCAACCGACTGAGCCACCCAGGCGTCCCAGCCTTTTGTCATTTTAAAGAATTTAGAAAATACAGGATCTGTCGGGCACTCAATATATAAATGTAAATTAATGGAAACACTCTGTATAATCTTTCATGTCCTGGTTATTGGGAAACACGAAACTCAAAACATAATTCTGCTCTAGTTTGTAACTAACAGTGTTAATCCGAAGAAAGGAAAGACTCTAACCTTTAATTATGAGATTTATTTTCTCTTGTCATAACAAGTCGAGTCTCTAATACCTTTTTTTTTTAAATCCCAGCACACAATTCAAGCAAGAGAATGGGAAGGCTCAGAAGGACGCCACAAACTAGGCAGGGACAAGAACCTGACCCACCCCAGCAGCTGGGCTGACGGGGGCTGTGGGCAGTGGCTGGCTTACCTGAATGAGGAGGGGGTGTGTGGGCCACCTGTCAATGGTGCTCCACTTCATCCCAGGCTTCTTTCCCACTTCGTTATAGTATCTGTAAATGGCATTTAAGCTGCTGCCTGAAAAATACAGGGGACCACTTAGTAGACGTGTGTTGATGATAGTGAAAATGAAAAACAGACTAGTAAAGGCAGTAAGTTCGAAATAGGTAACCGCTTCTATACTGAATTGGTCTAATTACAATCATTTCAACGCTCTAAAATGCAGATAGATTTAACTAACCTGCAAATGAAGATCACTAAAAAGCAATCAATTGCAATGGCCTTTCAAAGACAAGTGAGGCCATTTCTAGTGAGAAAGACAATGGTAGAGGATTTATGAAATATAAGCCGCCACTATTTGCAGGAACCAAGTCTAACAACTGAAAGCATGTTAATTTTTCCCCCCATTATGAAGGTAATCAACCCAAGCAGGAAATGTAGGGGGTGGGGAAGAAAGGAAAAAAGAAACTGGCCATGATCCAGCTAATACAGCGATCGTGTTACTCTAGCCAAGTTCTTTCCTATTATTTTCCTGTACAGCTGTTTTGTTTCACAAAGTTGTAATTTTAGCACATATGCAATTCTGTATCCTGAGCACTTGGCATATTTTTATTTATTATTATGAGATGCATATTTTCTACCTTACAATAAAAGCTTTATAGCTATCTTTTTAAATGACTTGTTGATAAGAAGACTAGCTTATTTAGATTTGCATGAGCATTCTCTATTATTATCTGCTTCTACAAGATTGTTATCATTCCCCAGAATAAGTTAAATGGATAGCAAATCCTTACCAGTAATCTAACAGTACTTGTATTTTTTTTTTTTTAAAGATTTTATTTATTTGAGAGAAAGAGAGAGAGACAGAGAAACAGCATGAGAGGGGAGAGGGTCAGAGGGAGAAGCAGGCTCCCCGCTGAGCCGGGAGCCCGATGTGGGACTCGATCCCAGGACTCCGGGATCATGACCCGAGCCGAAGGCAGTTGCTTAACCAACTGAGCCACCCAGGCGCCCAGTACTTGTATTTTTAACCAAGAGGTCAAAATCACGAAAATTCAACGACTGAAGGAAGACAGATGGTGCCAACCCAATGGAACTTCTTCCTGGCCGAGGGGAGCTGGCGTGTGCAACTAATTCTAACACGGAGCCTCTTTCTCAATCTTAACATAGGGCAAATGTTCCAAAACATTTCCCTGCTTCCCAACAGCAACGCACTGGTTTCTGTAACAATGAGGACTGTTAATCTGATAGGTCTCCAGATTAAAATACGAGCCGGGATACAGCCCATAGTTAAATCAAATGTACATTTAGCCTAAAACTTAATTTTCAAAAAGATAAAGGAGTTCCATTCCGGAAAACAATGAGTCAGATAAATCCAAATTGAGTCCACTGCAGGTTCAAAAACAATCTCTCCAGAAATCAGAGTCAGCAGCATATTCATACCGCAAGCCACACCGTACAGGCGAATATCATCTTTAGGATTTTTAAAGCCACAAAAGGACTTCTGGAAGCCACACTAGTTCTTCTGGGTCACTCAGAAACATTTGATCAACTATCCAAAGTAGTAATGAAGGGGAAAATAGAACTAAAACAATTGCATGTGATTGATACACAGGATATACCGCTCTGCTCCAACAACGTGTGTCTAAATGATACAACAGGTAAACAACACTCTCGTGGCCTCAAAGAATGGAAGTGCTCTCCAAAGGCTTTTGAATCTCTGAGTGAAGATCACCTGCCCTTTCACGTGAGCTGGACCAGGGAACAGCCCCACAGACACTGACACCTGAGACCCACTGGTAGAGTCAGCTGTGAAATGAAACCCAGTCAGTCCTCTGTCATACAAATAACCATCTTCTTAACTTGTCTCATTTTGAGAGCAGACATTTGCAGTTAGGGTATATATATACTTTTTAACATTTTATTTATTTATTTGAAAGAGAGAGAGCGAGAGAGAGCGCGCAAGCAGGGGGAAGAGCAGAGGGAGAGGGACAGGCAGACTCTGCACTGAGCATGGAGCCTGACTCGGGGCTTGATCCCACGACCCTGAGATCATGACCTGAGCTGAAATCAAGAGTCGGACGCTCAACGGACTGCGCCACCCAGGCACACCTACATTTGAGGTATATTTTTTAAAGCAAGGCAAAGGTATGCTTAGAAATTTATAAAATCTTATTCCTTCTCCAATAACACATTAGCAGACATTTTGAGTTGTAGAAGTACATTTCCAAAAGAAGCCAAAACTCGAACTCTTGAGGGTGTCTGAGAACTCAGGCATTTTCACAGGGGCTCTGAACAAACATTTGAGGCATACAACAGGCTTTGAACATGTCCTCTGACAGCCTTTTGCTTCTCTTTATAATTATAGAAACAATATGCACTAACATCCACAAGCAATTTGGGAGTCAAAATGTGCTGAGCCCAATCCTTGAAATAGAATGCAAACAAATGTATGTGTGAGTAGAAGCTTTACCTATTACCAATGCTACAGAGAAGGGCAAAATTGATTATTCTCCTGCTCCAGTTAAATATATAGGAAACAACACGCAGTAATATTTTCCCAAATCTAGAACACTGAGAGAAGTTTACAAAGAGAACCTCAAGCTGGGCTTTGGTTTACCCAGTAAACCAACCCATAAATAAAGTGTAGCACAAAACATACCAGTATTTCTCATACTACCTGGGCACCTCTGCTTTCAAAATGGAAACTGCGATCACCTTTGCTATGTTACTGAGAATATGAGGGTTGCCATAAAAACAGGGTTTAGTATGCAAACATAAAAAGTGCCTTAACGTTCATCACTGAGCCGTTACACAACTGCATTAAAGCACTGAGCACGAGGGGCGACCGCCTTCCACCCACCGTTTGTAATTCTCAGCCGATTGGCCTATAACTCAAGGGACAGATGAACCGTGAGATTTCCAATGGACAGGCCTGCACTCTCGTGTTTAAAGAAGCAGACAGGCTGGATTTGCCGTTCAAATGGAAGGTGACTTATCCTTTGCTTCCGCACTCAGGTGCCCGGGCGATGGCGGCCAGGGCCCCGCATCCCCGCCCTCCCACTGTCAAGGGGAAGCCTTACCTGTCGTGGAGCAGCTGTACTGTGGGTACTGAGTGAAGGCAATAGCCCTCTCTACCCCGTCTCTCTCCATCTCTTCAATTGCTTCTTCTGTTAAAGGATGGACGTACCGGAATCCAATATAGTATTTGTGAGGGGCTATTAGGAAGCATGTGTGGAAAGGAGAAAGTATTAATCTTTATATAGATTCCTTGGAGTCAACAAACATCATGCAAAGCCCAGAACAAAGAACAGTTAACCTAATTTCCTGTGAGGCTGATAATGTTTAGGCTAAGTTTAGAATATTCCTCGGATCTTATCCTGTCTTCGCTAGTGCCTGGACTTTTCACCATTTTCTGGGATCAACCTCCTCCCACCCCCAACACACACACCTTTACCGAGCACAGTGGTTTTTACAACTCAAATGTCTTCTCTTTATTCTCTGCTCTTGACTGAGATAAGAGAGACTCAAAGGAAGGAAGGAAAGAACTAGCACTTACTCTTGAAATGTAACCTCCTCTGATGTACCAGATACCGTGGTGGACACTTTGCTCGTATTTTTTCTTTCATTTAAACCTCACTTTTCAGATAAAGAAACTGAAACTCTCCAAGGTTAATGAACCTGCCCAAAGTCACACCTAGTAGACAGTGGAGCTGAAATTGAATGTGGGTCTCACCCCTCCCGAGCCGGGGCCCCCTCCCGGCCCCACAGCCTGCTTCCACCACCTGGGTTCCCTCCTGCTCCCTCAGACCCCAGGTCACCTGGGTAAGCTCTGGGATACTCAACAACCGTTCAGGGATAACAAACGATTGAAATGGTTCTCCTCATTTAATAGATAAAGAAACCCAACAACAAAGCTTAAATTGGAGGCACCGATTCGGATTTGAAGGAACAGCCCAAGTCGGTGTATACCTTTGCCTTCCTTCCCCGTGTATTCCTCACAAACCCCTTCTCCTATCCCTCCTTTGTCCGTCTCCGTCTTCTTGTCCTGGATCTTAAAAGCACCCACCACCACACAATTTCTTAGGCATTTAGAAAATCATAAAACTGAAAGTCTCCTGTCGTTTCACAGGACAAAGCTAACTCCCACTCAGGGATGACGCTGAGAATATGCAATATAAATGTTAAGTCATAACAGAACCAAGATGATGCTACTGTCCCAGTGTGAGCAGGGGCTGCCACTAAGTACGAGACATGAAACAGCCACAAGAAATGTTTAGGCTGAAGTGAAGGAAAAGGTAACGTGTTCACTGTTGGTGTGTCTGTATAAACCGCACCTCGGTGATGGGACACGGGGAACGGGCAAGCAGGGGCACATGTTCCCAAGGACAGGAGCGGACATGGGAAGGAGAGAGAGGCGTGCATGTGCATGGGAAGGACAGGCTGCTCTGGTAAGTCTCTGGCTGGGGGCCGCAAAAAGAGGAAGGAAGGGGCATACGGAGAATCATTTTCGGCAGTCTGTCCCTTCCAGGCTACCAATTTTATGTTCTTTTGTGTAAAATGACGAACTGCAGTTAAAATACACCAGAATGCCCGACGCAGTAAGCAAAGTCCAAATGACTGACTGACCGAAGATTACAACGTGGTTCATCCCAAAACTGCCAACTGTCCTGCTCTGCCTGAGGGGCTCTGGGGGACCTAAGCTGAGGCTGAAGTGGGATTTGCCTTCTAATCTATTCTTCTGAGACAATCCTATTACTAGATTGCTACGGTAAGATCCGCCAATGCTACAGGCCAAGCAGCTTCTGGCATTCTCTTTCCACCTTTGGAAAAGTTGCAGCCTAAATGCCGGGGGCCTGGGAGTTCCTCAAATCTTGCAGACAAGAGAGGTGAAGAGGCTGCCCCTGCAGATAAAGGCCGGGTGGTGACCTCGGTTTGAAGTGAGGGAGGGTAAAATACTCTGGGAGGAACAGATAAGACTTGGTAAACTGTTGGATTAAAGATGGCCTGCACAAACGTACTGCAGGAGAATGGCCATGTGCTCTCCCTGACTAGGCCTAGCCTGAGGAAGCAAACGTTTCCCCGAAGGCCACTGGCCGGCCTGGCCTAGTCTACCCTGGAGCCACATGGCCCAGCCAAGAGTCTTTGGTGACATGTCACCAGGAAAAGAAAAAAAAAAAGGACTGAGTTGAATTTTTGAGCAGTGAAACTTCATTAATTTCCAGCCCATAGTTCAAATGTCTGGCTTGTACATGACTCTTTGAGAGAAAGGTGTGAAATAGATAGTATAATGCCTTTTGAGTTGTAGCTCGTCATGAGCCCTAGGCCAACGATGAATAATAATAAAGGCTCACATTTATTGAATTTTTACCATGTACCATGCACCAGGCTGATGCCTTTCGTGATTATCTTATGTAATATTCACAATGATCCTAGGAGTGGGGTTCTGTGATCACCGCCATTCTCTTTTCTTTTTTTTTTTTTTAAAGATTTTATTTATTTATTTGACAGAGAGAGACATAGTGAGAGCAGGAACACAAGCAGGGGGAGTGGGAGAGGGAGAAGCAGGCTCCCCGCCGAGCAGGGAGCCCGATGCGGGGCTCGATCCCAGGACCCTGGGATCATGACCTGAGCCGAAGGCAGACGCTCAACGACCGAGCCACCCAGGCGCCCGATCACCGCCCTTTTCAAGATGAGGCTTAGTGGGGTAGTCATCTGCCTGAAGTCCTACAACCAGGACTGGGGGAGCCAGCTCCATCTGAAGAGAGCCCACTGTCCTCCCCATCAGGCATCCTGTAAAGAACAACTGACTTATTCTACGGAGCAGCATGCACTTACAGCTTCCTGAGAAGCAGTCACAGTCTACATAACCAAACTATCATTTTTTAAATGTATTTGAGATTTAAACTTTCATAAAGTGATTACACTTCTCATCTATTTTCCTTCTCTATTCCCTCAATTCCTGTAATGTGGTGTAATCCTATGAAAAAAATTCCAAGTTATATTCCCTCGTTAAACTGACCGTATGACTTAATAGTCAATTTTACACAAAGCCAGTGCAAGCTGAAATTTCTATAACAGCTACTAAGCAACAACTACTTCCCTAAAAATGAGAGTTTGAAACATTTCTGTTCGTAATCATCACACTGTTTTGCCTAAAGAGAATTTTTCCCAATAGAAATAAACAAATAGACATAGTTTAAAAGTATACTTTATGGTTTTGTGTGAACATATGAGAAGGGAAGAGGAAGGAGAAAGAGAGGAATGGAGGGAGGGACAGAGAAAGCAGGAAGGAAAAGCCACACGAAGCGGGTGAGGGGCCGGGGTTTTCCCAGCTGGCTCGGGTCCGTTCTGCGACGCATTAAGTAACAGGACAAGGAACCTCTTTCTAGTTAATCTGGGTGAGCTCCTGGCAGAGCCACACTTGATAATCTTGGTCTTTAGCACAAAGCTCCCCCAAAGCAGTTTCCAAACCTTGAGACTATTTCATTTTTCCTCCATCTGCATTCTGTGTGATCACTGGCCTTCCTACCCATTTTGTATAGCATCTCTCCAGTAAATCTTAAAAGATTTTCTCTCTGCCCCTTAAGCAGATTAGGCTGTAATCGCAGGGTGTCCCTGGACTGGAAGCTTCTCATAAGTAGAAACCATGTTTTTTGACTTTGAAAAGCAGTATCGAACAGTGCAGGGCACTCAGGGTGCCACTGATGAATGACCGAGTGGACAGTCTTGGGCCTTACCAAGCATCTCTACCATACCCCCAGAGCAGGTCTGCCAAAACCGTTAGGTGGTCATTTACCATGTAGGAGAGAGCAACGATTTAACCTGCCTGCTCTGAGGGTCCCAAGTGTGGGCCAGAGGGCAGTGATAGGTCAAAGGGTCATCAGTACCAAAGCCCTCCCAGGACCAGGATCTGGACGAGCCTCCCAGATCCAGAGAAACTAAAAGTAGCCCCTAAGGGGCGCCTGGGTGGCTCAGTCGATTAAGCATCTGCCTTCGGCTCAGGTCACGGTCCCAGGGTCCTGGGATCGAGTCCCACATCAGGTTCCCTGCTCAATGGGGAGCCTGCTTCTCCCTCTCCCTCTGCCTGCCGCTCTGCCTGCTTGTGATCTCTCTCTCTCTGTGTCAAATAAATAAAATCTTTAAAAAAAAAAAAAAATTAGCCCCTAAGACAATTTACTCCCTGCCTCAATGAAAATGACCAGGTAACTCAGCTCCATGAAGGTAAGGGTGTGACTTAGTCACTACTTTATCCCTCATCACTATACTGTACCTGAGTGTGGTCAGTGCTTACAAATACCTGGTGGTTGGCTGGATGGAAGAATGGATGCAAGTGGGAAATAATGCGTGAAAGAGCAGCTACGTGAGCAACCAAATGGGCAAGTAAATGGAGTGAGAAAGGAGGAAAGATGATTTCCCGTCACATTAGTAGTGATTTAGTGACTGGACAGGCAAGCCACTGAGCTGAATATACTTCATGGATACCCTAAACTTATCCCCAAATTATAATGAAGAATAATAGACTTTACTTTCTCATATGCCTCCATAAGATGAAATGCTTAATAACTGATTTTTTTAAAAATCACTTACAATTCTGACTATGAAAATATGAAGTGGATATTACTATTCTTTGGTCCCTACCAAAGCAGGGAATAATCCTAGAATCTAGATGATGTAACTTCCTTTGTACTAGATGGCCACAGATTAAAATAATCAGATGTTTGATAGTAAGTGATATAAATCGGGACTCTTTCCAAGCCAACCCGGGAGGCTGAGGCCATGGCTGGTCTGTCTGATCTGGACAACCCAGCAGCCTCACCAGAGAGAGAGGGAAGGTGAGAAGGATGCCCTCCATCTGTACTCCTTGCTCAAGGCTAACAGCTCTGCTGGAATACTGGATGGATCCTACCACATCAACAGACAAAAATGGCATCTTGCCACTTCTTTTTTTCCACTGAAGACAGCACAGCAACTGCAGATCTGATTCACACTAGACCTTTTATACTGATAAACTGTTAATGACTAGAGGGCTTGTTCTCTATCAGGCAGGTGTGAGTAGGGCACAGCCAAGTTTCCCTCACCTAATGTTTTCAAGACACATTGCAGTACGAGTGGCTGAATTGTATAAGAAATGCCCTTGAGCCACCAGCGAAGGCAGGAAGCACACCGATGTTCAGAAGCATGACTGAACAATTTTCCAAGTGAGCTGAGCTGAGCTAGAGCCTCTGTCCCTGTATGTGACGGGAAACAGTGGCTTCCAAGAGCAGCTTGAGGTGACACTCAATGGTGTTTTCTCAGAGCAGAGTGAAATGCTTTTGGTCCCGCCTGGAGGGGTGGCTGTCCTTGAGGCTCCCCACTGTGTCACACTCCTGTCCCTCATTCTGGAGCCCCAAAATGCACTGTTAATTAATGTATTTCATGCACCTTACATGCACATTTCTTGGTTTAACATTTCTCATATTGGTCCACATCTGCAACAGATGCCGTCTTAAAATTAACCAGGGGCGCCTGGGTGGCTCAGTTGGTTAAGCGACTGCCTTCGGCTCAGGTCATGATCCCGGAGTCCCGGGATCGAGTCCTGCATCGGGCTCCCTGCTGGCGGGGAGTCTGCTTCTCCCTCTGACCCTCCTCCCTCTCATGCTGTCTCTCATTCTCTCTCTCTCAAATAAATAAATAAAATCTTTTAAAAAAATAAATAAATAAAATAAAATAAAATTAACCGGCAGAGTTTCGTGTGTGTGTGTGTGTGTGTGAACAATGGTGTGTCCTGCAATCTTGAATGTGTCTTGAATGCAGCTAAATATGGCACTTACAATTCATTCATGCAGTTAGTGCTTCATTCTGCACATTATCCTTCTGCATTCGAGGTTCTCAGAGGACGGTTACCAGCCACACCAATCCTCTAGCACCTCACACTAGCCGGTGTTGCTAGAGCCGAGGACGGTTGCTGAAAGTTGCTTACGGTCTCACGGCTTCCACAAGAGCTAGCCAATTCTGCTCTGCTCATCTAATTAGCCGTCTGCACAGAAGGAAAGGCACTAACAGCAGCCCTGATCCATTTCCCAAAGATTTCTTCCCGGGGGGGGGCAATGAGATATGCATCTTTTATTCATGGTATGTGGCCTCTTCCTTATAATCTAGCTCAATTTAACACACCCCTCAAACTTCCTTTTGAACCAATGTTCCAAATTTAGCTCTTTCCTCTGTAGCATAAGGAATAACAGGCTATACAGCCAAGGACAAAGGATAATGCCTTAAGAACGGAGTTAAGGGACCATGCATCATACAGAAACCCCCACAGATCAAGGACTGCAGATACAGAGAACCGCATCTGCCATCCACTAGTGTTTGGGACTTCATATCTAACTTGCAAGAACAAGCCTAGTGAGATACTGATTAAGAAGCGCTGTACCTGTGTGTGGGGACAACTCATCCAGCAGCTTCACCATGCCTTCTCCTTGCTTGGAGGTCCACATCTTGATGGGAGACCCACCTCCAATCCTGCGGTACTGCTCTTGAATTTTGGGGGTTCGGCGTTTGGCGATGATTGGTGCCAGCTTACTAAATCATTTAACAGGTAGGTAAGTGGATTTTATTCCACCTTAGCAACCTCAGAAACTACTCGATAGAAAAGATAAGCAAAATTGTAAGAAGAGCCTAAGAAGATCAAGCCTTTAAAAACAGAAGCTTTGGGGGCACCTGGGTGGCTCAGTCGTTAGGCGTCTGCCTTCGGCTCAGGTCATGATCCCGGAGTCCCGGGATCGAGTCCCACATCGGGCTCCCTGCTCGGCGGGAAGCCTGCTTCTCCCTCTCCCACTCCCCCTGCTTGTGTTCCTGCTCTCGCTCTCTCTCTCTCTCTGTCAAATAAATAGTAAAATATTAAAAAAAAAAAAACAGAAGCTTTGAGTGAGAAACAGCCAGCTCTTTTGGCCTCAAGTAGAGAGAGAAAACTAAACACTCTCTGAGGAGTAGCCACATCTGCCCCACGTGTTATTCTAGCAACATAGCCTGAAGATTCAGGACACCAAACGCGCAGGCACAGACCCTAGGTGCATGCTGGCCACTATCCTAACACTTCCTGATCCTACACCTAGTAGGAAGTGGGATATAGAAGACATTAGGAAGCATATATTCCTCTTACTTTAAGAAAATGCGTATTAATCACAGATACATTTGCATATGTGAGCAAAGATGTACACAAACCACATGAATGTTCACTGTAATACGTAAACAACGTAAATGTCCACCATGAGCCACAGGTTAAATAAATTAAGGTATGACCAGACAAATGCAACTATCTATACAGTCGTGGGGAAAAAACAAAAAACAAACAAAAAACCAGATCTATATAATCTGTTACGGAACAATCTCCAAGATACATTGTTAAATTTCAAAAAAAGAAAATAGCAAAGTGTTAAATAATGTACATAAGTACATTCACATTTGTGTTGAAAAGAACAGGGAGGATATATATGTGCATATATACCTATATATCTATAAATAAAGTTATGTATATGCTTGCATATGCATGAACTATTTCTAAATGTAACCAGAAAGACATCTGTACAATTACAGATTTCTCTATTTCTGGTTACATCTGTAACCTCCCAGGTGGGTAACTGGAAGGCTGGAGTCCCAAGGAAAGGGACACTTGCTTTTTACTGTGAACATTTTTCTGCTATTTGCATTTTTTATCATATGCATGTATAAATTTTTCATTACAAAAGCCTATTTTAAAAGAGAAGAGAAGGAAGGAGGGAGGGAAGGATGAAAGAAAAGAGGCAGTCACCGTCCATATTCACAGTATGAATGAATACTAATCACTGCTTCCCTGAGTGCCAAGTACAAATGTATCTGTAATATCTTTAAAGGGACATCAGTTGTGTCAAGACAACTGCGATTTCCAGAGCTCTGGGGAGGAAAGGGCTCAAGGAGGATCCCCTCCCCAACTTGCTTTCTCTCTCTCCTGCAATTCTTGCAATATCAAATCCTTCTTTTTTTTTTTTTAAAGATTTTATTTATTCATTTGAGACACAGAGATACAGAGAGAGAGAGAGAAAGCATGAGCAGGTAGAGAGGCAGAGGGAGAGGGAGAAGCAGGCTCCCCGCCGAGCCAGGAGCCCGATGCGGGGCTCGATCCCAGGACCCTGGGATCATGACCTGAGCCGAAGGCAGATGCTTAACCATCTGAGCCACCCAGGCGCCCCTCAAATCCTTCTTATACCTAAGAAAATAATAATGCTGCTCTAGCCACTACCAGATAAGCATTAAAACCATTTATTTTGTGAAACTAAAGAACCGAGGTACGTGTAAGGCAAGAGGCACTGCACAAGTTAGGAAGAAGCACAGGTACTTAGACGTGTCTTACTTTTGAATAGGAAGCGTCATGAGGTCTCGGTCCAAGAAGAGCCTCAGAAGGAAGTCGTGAACATCTCCCAGGGTTTCAGGGCCTCCCATGTTTAGCATTAATATTCCAGTTTTGGGCTTCCTACAGAAAACAAAATGCAATGGTTGATTTGTAACTTTTTATTTTTCTCCTCTAGGGTACAATCTTGGTTCAGCTAGCAAACTCACATCCAATCTGTTCAAAGCAAAGGTACAGACCTATAGAGCTGTGCACTGGCATCCCATGGCTACCTATCTGGGAACACACCAGGCCTCTGGTTCCGCACGGTCCCAGCTCTGACTCTGACCTCGGTCTCCTAGCTTCATCCATGACGCTGGTCTTCTCTGGGCTCGAAACGTTTCTCCACTAAACGGTCAGTCCTGAACAAAGATCCCATTCCTTAGGGACTGAGAGCCAAGGTATAAATCTACAATTGTCCTGAGGCTGGAAAAACTGTTCATGTGAATGCCTTATGAATACACAAATGACTTGGTCTCTCCAAACTTCAGTTTCTTCATCTATAAGATAGAGAGTCCACCAACTACCTCAAAAGGTTGTTTTGAGAATTAAATAAGATAGCGTACTTAGTTATTTAGCATGATCTGGTACACAGAAATTCTATGATACACAGAGAAGCCATGGGCTTCCCAGAAGTTTAAACCTCCACAGTATAATACCAGCCCATCTCTAATTCTTTACCTGCTCCCTTCTCTTTAATTATTACGTTAAATTACTACTGACAAATTATTTCTTGCTACTCTGCTGCCTTTTCCAGAGCCTGCCTTTACTCCATCTTCAGTGTCTCCTGCTACGATAAAGTACACGTCTCATGTGGCACTCACCTCTCCATCCTCCATCTAGAGCCACTGCTTAGGGGATTCCTGCAAGAAATTGCTCTAACTTATTCAAATAGGTCCAGCACTGAATGAGCCAGAAGAAGCAAAAAAAGAAAATCAAGCAGTTTGGGGGAAGTTAAATAAACCAAAGGACTATGCAAACTCTAAACCTCTAAAATCTAGAGCAGCTCTGGAGCCTGCACAGATTAACGTGAGCCAGGTCAAGATGAGTTCTCCATTCCTACACCCCTTCAGGGCGCAAGATGGAGCCAGAGTGGGACCAAGTGCCCCTCACATGCTTCGGGTGGCCGCCAGCAGCCCAAGGCTGGAGACTTGGAACTCTGAGGTCATAGCCAGAGATGAGAGCCTGGAGAACGGGAGGCCCGTGTGTTCCTGTGAACAGTAGCCCTGTGACGGCAGTGAAAGAGCCTGCAGGTGCAGACACTAAAGGACAAGGAGTATTTCTTCCATTCCTGCACTTTTTTTTTTTTGCATTTGGAAAAATTTAGATATAATTTACATATCATAAAATCTGCCACGTCAAAATACAATGCAGTGGTTTCTAATACATGCACCAAGTTATGCAACCATTACAACTATCTAATTCCTAAACATTTTCATTACCCTGAAAGAATATTCCCCCCCACTAGAGCCATTCCCCATTCTCCCTCCTGCTCACTCTTGGCAATCACTGACCTGCTTTCTGGGTCTATGGATCTGCCTATTCGTAGAAATAGAATCACATAATATGTGGCCCTTTGTATCTGGTTTCTTTCCCTTAGCATACAATTTTCAAGGTTCATCCATGTGATAGCATGAATCAGTATTCTTTCCTTCTTATGGCTGAATGTAGTCTCCATTCACTCTTTGATAAAGCAGCTGAGAAGGACCAGACTGAGGTTTATGTAAAACACCATCATTACAAATGCGGAGGGGTCCCACTTTCTAACCCTCCTACATCAAGACCACCTCAAACTGCTGCAGGGACTGAGCCGATCCTGCCGAGATGGCTCTTGTTTGGAAGACTGTTCCTAATGTGTTCTAAAGCCAATGAGATCACGAGGACAGTTTAATTGCAATTTTTAAACAAACACTAACATTTGGTGATAATGTGAGGCAGCAGAGGGTGTCAAATGTATACACGTGGAAACTGTTTTTTGAGCAAACACACTACAGGGGAATGAGGCAGAAATCAGTTCTCAGCCTGAATTTTCAAAATAAGAACCAATTCCTGGGGTAAGGGGTATGTTGCATTCCAGTGAAGTCAGGGATCTTCCCATTTAGAGCCCATCATAAGGAGGAACTAGGTTCACTCTTCACATCGTCCTAGGCCAACGTTTCTCTTCCTTGGCACTATGGGCATTTGGGGCTGGATGATCCTCGGCTGTGGAGGGCCGTGTTGTACGATGCAGGGTTTCGTAGCATCCTGGCCTCTACTTGCTAGATGGGTCTATGGATCTGCCCCAACAGCACACACCCCACCTGAGTTGTGACAACCAAAAACGTCCCCAGACATCGCCGACTATGTCTGGGGAGTGGGAGCGGAGGGTTCCCCCCTCCCTCTACTGAGAACCACTGAGTTAGAGGAAGAGGGTTTACCCTCCTTTTTACAAAACCAAGCAATTATTTTGGAAGACGGTCATTGTCCTACAACTTTTCCACCTCCTCTGACCAGAAATCCTATCGATGAATTAACAAGCTGGTATTTAGTTTTCTTTTCTTGGTACCTGAAAATTCCAGATTCATTATATTGTGAAACTGTAATACTCCCTTAATCTTTCTACTTAGACCACCAGTGTTCTGGGATCCTGTCTCTCACCCTCAAAATCTGTGACTCACAATAAATTAAGCGCATTTTTCCATGGATTGCTGCCAGTTAACAGATTACTGGTTAAGAAACCCCAAGCTAAGAGACTTACCTAAGCCACAGAGGGTATCAATGTGCAAACGAGATTTAGAACTGTTTTTCATCTGTAACACCTGAGCTCAGAACAAGAGTGGCTTTAAATTGGATGTTACTCTGCCCTGCAAACCCATGTTTTGTAAACCACGATGATGTTACACATGAAAGAGATGCACACGATTTGAAATACCTAAATACACATGCACTTAATTCAAAACTGTGTTGTGCATGATGAATGGCGCATTAGCTGCCCTAGTCTGACACCCTCTGCGAGAATGTGAAGTGCAAAGCTTTAGCAAGGGTCACTCTGTCTCTCCTCCCCTCCAGACACAGCCCATCTGACACCAAGCTCTGAATGTCAAGTTCCCTTTGTTTGAATGTAAAAGTATAAATAGCATAAATTTAAAACTTCTCCCTTGAAAAGGTTTCAACACTTTGCCTAAGGCTCTATCCCCCCAAAACCTCAGTTTACTCAGTGTTCACACAATGAAAAATAACAAACCCAAAATAAGACTATTCATTTTCATAGCTGTATTGCTTTCATGGAACATCTTGTCTAGAAGAAAGGTCAAGGAGTTAATAGTTCACAGCGACTTTCCTTCTTTAACCCTGCTAGTATTGAAGTGTGCTATTTCTGTGTACTCATCTAAAGAATTGCCTTATAGAGTCTTGTGCTGCGTCTGTACCAAGGAAGACTTAAGAAGGGCTGTGGCTTCTGCTATGGAAGAGGACACCCAACAACAACGCCGTGCCTGTCATGCCCGCTGACGCCCACCAGCAAACAGCAGGGGTGAAGTACGGAACAGATACTTTATTCCTTTAATAAATCGCAAATCATATTATGTCAGTTCTAATTTTGTTCACTGTGTTAACAGTGAAAAACAACGGGCAGAGTTTACCACATAAATTCTTGACAGATTAGTTATTCTTTATCCTCTACACGACCTACATTTTATAGGTGTAATTATGTTAGGTTCGTAAATACATTTCCAGCAATACATATAATTTGTGTTACATGACATATTCCAGGACTAAATTCCTACATGATTTGCAGACTGTACTGAGCTATGTGTCCTTTAACAAAAGCCCGGTGGGATTTTCTTTGTCAATCATACCCCAATAAAGCTGGAAAAAATTTTTTTAATAAAAAATTTTAGGGGCACCTGGGTGGCTCAGTCGTTAAGCGTCTGCCTTCGGCTCAGGTCATGATCCCAGGGTCCTGGGATCGAGCCCCACATCGGGCTCCCTGCTCAGCGGGGAATCTGCTTCTCCCTCTCCCACTCCCCCTGCTTGTGTTCCTCTCTCGCTGTCTCTCTCTCTCTGTCAAATAAATAAATAAAATCTTAAAAAAAAATTTTTTTTAATCTGTAAAAAATTTCAAAAAAAATTTAAAACCTTAGGGGGGGGGTGTGTGTGTGTGTGAAAGAGAGAAAGAGAGAGAGATCTGCAGTTTTCCAGTTACTGAAAGAAAGCCAAGAAAACAACACCCCACTCCTTACATACTGGCATTCCCCCGCAGCTTTCCTCCTCAGGCTGCTCGTAGCCACTCACTGGTGTTGGCATCCACAAAAAGAAATTCTTATTAGTACCTAAACTTAGAGTCATACCTCTTCCCCGGCTGAACTTGTGGTTTTGGGCTTCTGCCACGTTGGGCTGTTTCTGTGGCAGCGGCCGCCGTGGCTCCAATCGACTGGCCCCTCCATGGCTGGCAGGTCCTCGGGCCGCCATGCACCACTGTGGCAAAATTAAAGTAACAGCATGAAATCTAGCGGGGAAGTAATTACTTTGGAAGAAGTCCTCAGAGCATCAGTCCCAGATTTAAAATTTAAAGAGATGCTGTAGCGAAGGCGATTTTCCCAGCATTTCTCTGCACATGGGTAAAGGCACTTACAATCCCTCTGACCGGGGGGTGGGGGCACCCCCTAGGATAGCGTATCAGGACCTGCATGGAGCCTTTTTAGAAACACACCTCCTCACTCTGCCTCGGCAGATTCTGACACGATCCTTCATGGAAACCACTGCCCGTTTCTGGAAGTTACTGGCAGCAGCGTGCCGCTCATACAAAGGGCGAGAAGCTTGTCCGACAGGCTAAGAGCCATTGATTTAGGGAGTGGCAGTCGAGCCAGTTTCCCATTGTCAATTGCACAGACCTCATCTGCCTGTAAGCCTTCTCCCTTAAAGCACCAGTGCTAGGGACACCTGGGTGGCTCAGTCATTCAGCGTCTGCCTTTGGCTCAGGTTGTGGTCCCAGGGTCCTGGGATCCAGCCCCGCATCGGGCTCCCTGCTCGGCGGGGAGCCTGCTTCTCCCTCTGCCTGCTGTTCTCCCTGCTTGTGCTCTCTCACTCTCTCTCTGACAAATAAATAAAAAAAATCTTAAAAAAAAAAAAAAAAAGCACCAGTGCTAGGGACACCTGGGTGGCTCAGTCATTCAGCGTCTGCCTTCGGCTCAGGTTGTGGTCCCAGGGTCCTGGGATCCAGCCCCGCATCGGGCTCCCTGCTCGGCGGGGAGCCTGCTTCTCCCTCTGCCTGCTGTTCTCCCTGCTTGTGCTCTCTCACTCTCTCTCTGACAAATAAATAAAAAAAATCTTAAAAAAAAAAAAAAAAAGCACCAGTGCTGAGAACCCCAGCACTGCCCTTGGACCCTGACAAGGCCAAGGGCTCCACTTCAGAGGGCCCTTTCTGGCCCTCCTCCTGCTGCAGCTCCCCCCACGGGGTATGCAGTCAGCACAGCCAAGGATTCATGGACCCCAGAGTCCACAGCTCACATTCCTGACCAGCCTCCCAGGACCTAGAACCCCAGAATTCCCTGTCCCCAGAGCCCCACACCCACTGCCAGGGTCTGCACAGGCCTCCTTCCTAGATCTCGCCTCCTGAGCCTGATGGTGCCGTCAGCGCAAGCAGTTCTTGACCTGAAGGGAAGCTATTTGCAGGGGCAAGAACAGAGCTTGAACATGCAGACTGGAGTGTCCACTTGGGTGCATGCACAAGACTCTTCACCATGCGGGGCAGAGCCGGTGGTGCAAAGAGAAGCAGGGAAGCCTACAGGCGAGAGGCAGCTCTCCCAAGGCCGCGACATTTCTGTAGGCACTCTGAAGAGTTCAACAGTGCACCCCTCCACGGCGTGATGAAGGTCTAGTCGCCAGGAGTGGAGAAGAGAACATATTTCACAGCGTGTTAGCTTGCTATCCCACACATGATATGTGGGTCTCCATCTGCACTCTTGTCCTGGCCCCCACAAGAGTTAGGTGTGGGCCTGGAGAAGCCACCTGAACTGAGGAGTCCATGGGCCCTACTTAGTTGTAGCGTGAAGAATATTCATCCTTCAACGACATACAGTGAAATTAAACTGAAGCTGTACAGTAGGTCCTCAAGATGGCAATGTGGGACTGTGGTTACTGCTGTGCCCCACACTGTACACGTGACCTCTCCCTTCCCTGCTCTCAAACCAGCTGGTCTGAAACCAGCTTGAGATCAGTCTCCTTCTACCCTCCTCCTACTTAGGAGTCAGAGGAGTCTGGGTGAGGAACTCAGGCTGTGGACCAGCAGACCTGACTGCATCCAGCTCTGCCACTTACTAGTAATGTACTGGGGCCAGGCTATACTCTTTCTGAGCCTTAGTTTCCCCAGTAAAATGATGACACCTTGCCACCAGGATCCTTGTGATGATTACAGCAGATAAGACTAGTGATGCACTCTGCACAGCGCCTGCCATATATGATTAGTGCTGGCATTCGTTTCATTTGTAAGTGTCTAGAGCACAGGGACTACATCTGCTCTGATTTTTTTTCACCTACCCTGTCTATAAGATATAGGAGAATGGTATCTCCAGGCCCCTTAGATTTCCAACTATCCATATTGTGCACAATCCCAACAGAGCCAATTACATGAGCTTGTGCTGAACAGTCCTTATTAACTCAAAGTGGAAGTGCAAAAGATTGACATAAAGAAGTTCAATTCTGCTCAAATGAAGTCTCAAACCAACCGACATCTCCTTATTTTAGACAAGTTCAATTTTGAACTGCATGAGATTTAACCAGGTTCTCAATCATGCCACCATGTCTGCAATTCCTTATATGAATGAGATTATACTGGGTTCCATGGGATATCAGAATAGAATTTGGGCATTACATGATTTGACTGCTGATAATAAGATTTTCCCCTGTGAATCTTAAAAAGTGGCAGAAGGGAATCAGGGTGAGACTGGAGTCGTCAACTAGTACATCAGTACTTCCTAGGACAATTTGGGAGCTGGTAGCTTTTCAAGCTGCTGATCTATTGCCATGCCCTCCACTTACACAATCCTCTGTGGTTGAACAAATTCTCAGGGCAATGCTGCTAATAATGGGTCCTCTGTGCTCAGGACCCACCTCTCAAAAACCTCTCTATGATACTCCTGTCCCCTAATGATCTGAAGGTTCCAGAGAAACAAAGAGTAGACTCTGACCAAACGATTTGTATACTTGTAGCTAAAGTTGTTTAATTATTCAAACAAAGGACCAATGGAGATTCCTCAATATACTCAGCTCACTGTGGCATAGAGCGTATGTGTTGGAGCCAGAGAGATCTGGTGGAAATCCCAGATAGCGCCGAACAGGCTGTGTAGCAGTACTTGGGCAACTCAAAGAACTCCTCCAAGCCTCACTTTACTCCTCTGTAAAATGGTGATAAGGCCAACCCTGCAGGGCCGCTGTGAAGATTAGGAAAAATTTTTTAAATCTATGTCCAGCCCCAAGAACAGTGCCAGGCACAATGCATATGGTTAAGCAAGAAGAATACTCAGTAGCAGGGACTTGCCCACTTATGAACTAAGACCAGGTATTCTAATCCTACTTTTACATGAACTGCGGAAGGCCTGCAAACCATAAAGGCTATAAAACTAAGAAAATGCAGAATATAAAGAAAGCAAAACTTCCTAACTCCTGGACAAACCCAAAAGGTGAAGTATTCAAAAGTTTATCTGTGACTTAAGTTCATGGGTATCAACTGGTTCTCCAAAACCAAATTACTATATTTTGGATGCTTAGGGGTGGGGCAAAGGAGGGTATAAAGGCACACAAGTACTTAAATATATAATGGAGCCCTTTTCTATCACATAGGAGATGAGGCTTATTTCAAAAGGTACTTATAAAAATAGGTACATTTTAGGGGCGCCTGGGTGGCTCAGTCAGTTGGGCATCTGCCTTTGGCTCGGGTCATGATCCCAGGGTCTTGGGATGAAGCCCCACATCAGGCTCCCTACTCAGTGGGAAGCCTGCTTCTCCCTCTCCCCCTGCTTGTGTTCCCTCTCTCGCTGTCTCTCTCTCTGTGTCAAATAAATAAATAAAATCTTTAAAAAAGGTACATTTTAAAAATTAACAGAAATAATGTACTATATGGTGGCTATTAATAAACACTTGGGGAGGGGAGGCTTTCAAAAAAGAATTACTTTCATCTAAAACTAATGATGTAATGTATGGGGATTAACATAAGGAAAAAAAAAAAAAAGAATTACTTTCTGGTATGGCACCAAAATGTTCTAGTGTCTTTAATTTAAATACTAATACTTTTTTTATTATTCCAGAAATTTTTTTCTAATTATGAAAGACATGGATGCTTAGTGTAGAAAATTTGGAAAGAAAAGGCAAAAACAAAAAACAGTAATTCATTAATCTACCAACTTTCTAATTTAAATATATATATAGTATACACAGTACGTGGCCCACCCCAGGGAGCTTCCTACTGATTCTTATTGATACATGGTGTAAAACTTTGCTTTTACACTTTTACTTTCAGAATTTGTTTTCAGTAATACTACCCAATTTTTTCTAACCCAGATAATGTTAATTCCTTCATTTCAAAAGGATGATTAAAGTATTATAACTACTTCATAAAATCAGAGTCCATAATTCAATTGACTTCAAATCCACTTTCATTATGGTTTCTGAATCCTTCCACTTAGTCACCTATACTCTGGACAACAAATCATTTAAAGTTTTTCAAATTGTTCTATGACCTCAAATGTAGAACGTGTCAGATTTTGCCACAGAAAGGGCCAAAGGAAGAAAACATTAATTCAATACATCTTTCAGCCCTGTTACCAGCATTGCGCTTCCTCTTCTTAAAAAATAATGCCCTTTGCTCCAGTACCCTGAGTGGCCTGACCCTCAGTATAAACTGGGTCCTTATTATTTTCCTCACAAAGACACCTGTAATAAGATAAGGAAATTCAGGGGCGCCTGGGTGGCTCAGTCGTTAAGCGTCTGCCTTCGGCTCAGGTCATGATCTCAGGGTCCTGGGATCGAGCCCCGCATCGGGCTCCCTGCTCTGCGGGAAGCCTGCTTCTCCCTCTCCCACTCCCCCTGCTTGTGTTCCCTCTTTCGCTGTGTCTCTCTCTCTGTCAAATAAATAAATAAAATCTTTAAAAAAAAAAAGATAAGGAAATTCAAAGTGGATTCTCTCCATTCCCTCTCAGTAGGCACCAGACTGATGAACTGTGGAACTACTTAGAAAAAATAAGTCCGGTCTGTGTCCAGTCACCACTCAGCAGCAGTGGGCACACTGCGACCTCCCTCCCAAGGGAGGGAACCCCAGGACAGATGTCCTCAGTTAAGTCAGGTCCTTAACTCACGCTCCCTCCCGTAATGCTCACAACAACCCCGTGACTCTCATTATTGATTTTACAGATAAGAACTAAGGCCCTGGCAAATTCCGGCACTGCTCATGGCCACCCAGCTGACCGGTGGTGCTCCAGGACACCCCCCCGGCGGTGCCCCAGGGCCCCCAGATGACCCACTTGCCCCCCTCTCGCCCTCCCAGGGGACGACCCCTTTCCCGTCCCACCTCCACGGCGCCCCTCGCCCCGTCCCGCGGAGCCTCCTGCGCCGCTCCCGGAAGCCCCCAGGGCGGCGGAGCCCGGCGCTAGCTGCCCCCCGCCCGCTGCCCCGGGCGTCGCAGTGACCTCGGCGGCGGTGGCGGCCGCCACAGCCTCACTTACGCCGATCGCGGAGCAGGGCGCTCGCAGCTCGCACGGCCGCAGCCATGTTTGTGCCGCCTGAAAGCATTCCCGGAGCAGCCTCGGCCCGGCACCCGGGCTCCTCCCGCGGTGGCGCGATCGGGTGTCGGTCCCCAAGGCGCCGAGCTGCTGGCACTGCCGCCCTAGGCCGCCTTATCTCGCGTGGCTGTCCCCCGAGCCCTCGCGGCGCACCGGCTCATTCGCTGCCGGCCGGGCCGGCGCCTCGGGGGCGGGGCCAGGGAAGACACGCCCCTCGCGGGAGCCCGCCCCGCCGCCGGGCGGTCCCGGGGGGTTAGGGGCCGGGTGCGCGCTAGCGGCCGCGCCCCACCACGCGGCAGGTCCCCGCCCTGGAGCCCCGCTCGGCCCCGGCTCACCCTGAACGAACGCCCTGGTTGCAACTGCCAACCTGGCCAAGTCAGGAACCGCAGCCACAACTGAGCAAAGGACTTTCCCGACATTTCCAGTACTATTCCTGAGATAGGAGGATGCTTTTGCCTCAGTTCTCCGGTTTGCTTGCCTTGTTACCGCACAGCTGTGCCGACCCAGTTTTGTTACGCTTGGTTTTCAGAATAGGAAAAGGAATTGTTTTATATGAGACACTCATGAATGGCATATTATTCAAGTTCTCTGTAGCATCTCTATATAGCCGAGTTTGACAGGTGGGACCAGAAAGCAAACATTATACGGCTAACAGGAGAAAAGGGGAACATAGGAAAAGTGAAGGCCAGCCCAGCAAATGCGTTTCTGGGAGGGATGGCATGGCGAAGTTTCTGGGTACATCTGCGCACGGTTGCAAGATAGCTATGGGGCCCCAATCCGCACACGGAACAGGCACCTCCCTCATTTCTAGCCATTCCTGCATTCCCACACTTCCACATGCCCACCCTGCCCATTGTTCTGTGCATCTTGGAGTACAAGACCAACCTCGGAACAGAAAGGTCTCAGACGTTATTCATTCGTTGGACAAGTATTGACCACCTACTGAGTGCACTGGAAAAATAGCAGTGAACAGAGCAGACAAGTGGCTTATGTGGGGGTTAAGGGAGAGAAAAAATAATCAGAATATGTATTATTTTGAGTGATGATAAGCATTAGAAAGAAGAAGGAAGCAACATGAGGGAGTTGGGGAAAAGGGAGGCTAATGCAATTTGAAATAGATGGGACGCCTGGGTGGCTCAGTCGGTTGAGTGTGCCTTTGGCTCAGGTCGTGATCCCAGAGTCCTGGGATCAAGCCCTGTGTTGGGCTCCCTGCTCAGCGGGAAACCTGCTTCTCCCTCTCTCACTCCCCCTGCTTGTGCTCTCTCTCCCTGACAAATAAATAAATAAAATCTTTTTAAAAAATGAAATAGATGGGTCAGAGAAGTTCTGACATCTAGGCAAAGGCCTGAAGGAAGTAAGGGGGCAAGCTTCATGGAATATTCTGGGAAGATGGAGTCTAGATTGAGTTGAAAATCACCTATCTGGAGCATAAAATTTATGTTCCTAATCGAGTTAGTTTATTATTAAAGTTGGTCCTCCTTATGGTTATAAGCCAAATGTAAAATATCACATTAAATGGATTGTCTTTCATATTACCTACATGACTTTCAGATCCAAAAAGGAGATGTTCCCTGAGAAATGAACAGTAAAACTTGCTCCAAGTTCCAAACTGCTTTCCTATATATTTTGCTAACTCTCTACTCTCATAATTAAATTATATTCATTTATTTTGCCCTTTAGCGGTGATCTTTATAATGTACTTCTCTACCTAAAGCTTAAACCCATTTCTTTTAAGCAAGCTGCTACAAAAAAGCTCTACATTTTGAACTGCTGTGCTGGACAAAGTGTAGACAGGTCCAGAGAACTAGGAAAGACTGAGGGTTTTAGATGTTTGAAATGCATGGGCTCTTCTCAGCTACTCTGGAAGGCTCTGGATAAGTCACCCTTCCATCCCCAGGGCTGTGCCCCTTCTGCAAGGTAGAGATAACAGGGGTCTTCTGGCCCCTCCTAGGGAAATACCCATGATTAGTGACGATGCACAAAGGTGCCAAAATCTCACATAATCAACAGCTGGGACAGGTATCTGACCAGAGAGGAGAAAGGAACTAGCAACACATGCTTTATTAAATATATCAACATAATAACATTTAAAAAAATGAATTAGCACCATTTCATACATTTTATTTTTAATATTTTATTTATTTGAGAGAGAGAGAGACAGAGGTAGCAAGAAGAGAGCACGAGCAGGGAGGAGAGGGAGAAGCAAGCTCCTGCTGAGCAGGGAGCCCAACGTGGGGATCAATCCCAGGACCCTGGGATCATGACCTGAGCCAAAGGCAGACGCTTAACCGATTGAGCCACCCAGGTGCCCTGTTTCATACATTTTATTTACATCTTTTACTTTCATTTTTACTAAATTGAAAAAGATTCATTCAAAATCCCTCATGTATAACCCCCCCGATGCACATATTGACTCATAGATCAAAAAATAAAAATATAAATAAATAAATAAAGACTCAAAGGTCATAGATGGAAACAGAACTTCATTATTTTTCCAGAACAGAGAGTATCATAAAAATTATTATTTCTAATCTATGGCTCATTTCTTACAAACATCAAATATAATAGCTTTTCAACAAGTAAATTTTTATGTTTTTATGAAAGCAAATAAAATGTGTTTTATACAGGTCCTTTTCAAAACTGATTAGAAACTACAGCTCTTAACCCATAAATTGTGAATTCTAAAGATTTATTTATTTATTTGAGAGAGACAAGAAGGAGGAGCAGAGGGAGAGGGAGAGAGCAGACTCTGAGCTGAGCATGGAGCCTGGTGGCAGGGCTCGATCTCACGCCCCTGACATCACGACCCTGAGATCATGACCTGAGCCAAAACCAAGAGGTGGATGCCTAACTGACTGTGCCACCCAGGTGCCCCAGAAATTGTGAATTCTAAATGTAGGTTTACTAAGAAAACCAGAAAAATCTTTAAAAGGCTAAAGAAATTTATAAAAGTATATGAGATTTATATGTGTGTGTGTGTGTGCATATGTACACATAAATGCATTTTTTTTCTGGCTTCCATATTTGTAACAAATGTATCTAGCACTTCCCTTAGCAAACAGAAGGCCAAAGGCACAGTTTCTGGGCCAACTGATAAGCTGCACCCCCCCACCCCGGAGAGGGTTTGTCTGAGCCCGGGTGACTTAATTAGTGAAGAAAGCACTCTCCTGTCACAGACAACACTCTGAGTTCAGCCTTTGGTCCTAAATAAAATGAACTTGTTGGTTTCAGCTCAATGCTTCAAGGGAAGGGCAGGGGGATCACCTAATTCATTATTTGTCATGATTGGCACCTCTGAGCTACACACACTAAATTTAGATTACTCAATTCTGTCTCCTTAATCAGAAAAACAACAGGGCAAGAAGGGGCGGTGTGCAGTACAAGAGAAACAGTGGCTGGACGAGGCAGACAAATGGTGAGCTCAAAACGATCACTCAGAGGCATCGGATCGATGGTCCCCACAATTGTTTTACAGCAAAGAGGCCACCCAACACAGGCCAATGTGGTGTGCATTTTGACTTCCTCTTTTCACCACGCAGAGCCTTAAGCCCACGAGTGATGAGGGGTTTATTAGTCCATCTGTACACATTTCCTGAGAGTCCGTGATAAGCATTGTATCAGGCAACAGGAGGATAAAAACATAAAGGGTAGACTGTACTCTCAAGGAGCTCATTCATTTATGAAACAAATATGCATGGACAGCTTGCCTGCGTCAGGCACGTGCTAGGCACTGGGTTTGCGGCAAAGAATTGGACTGTCTCTACTTCCACGGAACTTACATTTTTGAGGGCAAGGAATACAATAAATGACAGATATACCATTTAATGTTTGTATGACTGGGACCATGAAGAAAAATAGAAGAGGCAAGGGAGTAGAGAGGGGCAGAAGTTGCTATTCAGGGGTGCACGTTGGACATGGTATCTCTGCAGAGGTGGCATGGAGCAGGGACCTGTGGGGAGTCAAGGAGGCTCTCTGTGGAAGGGCTCTGCAAGCAGAAGGATGAGCAAGGCAGGAACACCTTTGAGGCTTGTTAGTTTCCTAGGGTTGCTGGAACAAAAATACCACACACAAGGTGGCTTAAAACCACAGAAATGTGTAGCTCAGAAGGCTTAAATTCTCGCGTTAAGGTGCCAGCAGGACCATGCTCCCTCTGAAATCTGTAGGGGACAATCCTTCCCTGTTTCTTCCCAGCTTCTGGGAGTGACCAGCAATCCTTGATGTTCCTTGGTTTGCAGCTGCATCACTGGATCTCTGCCTCCATCTCTGTCCATGTGTCTGTCCTTTCGTAACAGCTTTCCCCTCTTCGAAGGACACTGGTCATATTGGACTAAGGGCCTACCCCTATTGACCACATCTTAACTTAATTACATCTGCAGAGACCCTATTTCCAAATAAGGCCACATTTGCAAGTAGTAGAGGTGAAGATTTCAGCATATCTTTTTTTTTTTTTTAAGATTTTATTTATTTATTTGAGAGAGAGAATGAGAGACAGAGAGCACGAGAGGGAAGCGGGTCAGAGGGAGAAGCAGACCCCCTGCCGAGCAGGGAGCCTGATGTGGGACTCGATCCCAGGACTCCAGGATCATGACCTGAGCCGAAGGCAGTCGCTCAACCAACTGAGCCACCCAGGCGCCCCAGATTTCAGCATATATTTTTAAGGGACACAATCCATAACAAGGCCTTTGAGGAACAGCAAGGAGACGCACGTGTCTTGAGCAGAGTGTGTGGGGTGAGTGGCAAGAAATTTGGGCCAAATGATGCAGGACTTTGTAGGTGATGAAAGACTGTGTCCTACTGGGTGATCTCCCTCTAACAGAGTGATCCATGTTTACATTTCAAAGGTTCACTTTGCAGTAGGGAAAAGAAACGGCAGCTCCTGAGCCCATATTAAGACACTGCCTGACCAAAGGCGTTCATTTTCTCCTCTGAGTGGTGGTTTTTTTAAAGCTCATATTGGGCAAAGAGTGGTTTTTTCCCAGAGTTCTCTGCTCCCTGGGTCGTGGAAGGATCCTAAGAGCCTTTCTGGTTTGCCTCTGAAAGGATCCAGGGATCCCACCAGTCTTAGATGGGGATGGTGTTCATTTCTCGGCTTGGGAGGCCTGTTCCTTGCAGGGGTGTAAGAATCAGGGGAGTTGACTCTTTCCAGGAAGCTTTCA